CCAATTTCTTCTCTAAAACATGTAAAAAAAATTATCTTACCGTCACAATGTGTATACATAGTACATGCATTACTAAATGTTCGACTGAGTTAGCTGGTAATTTGATGCAAGTAAGATTTCTTACCGTCCTTATTATATTACTATCAAGAAGTCTTCGTTTTTGTAAAAATATTATATGAAGTTCTACTACCAAAAATTCAGCAAATTTTGTTATCCCGTTTATAATTTTGTTTAAATCCTTTTTAATCCCAATTTCGTCTCTAAAACATGTAAAAAAATTATCTTACCATCGCAATGTGTATACATAGTACATTTATTACTGTAAATATTCGACTAAGTGAGCTGGTAATTTGAGGCAAGTAAGATTTCTTAACATCCTTATTATATTACTACTGTACGTGAGTGCTTATTATGCTGTAATTAACATTGAGAAAGAAATTTCGAGAGACAATGGAGTCCTAGCAGCTTGTTTTGAAAAGAGATTACGCTGCGTACGCTGCATTGTTTTGAACTTACAAAGATGGCGGCAGCCCCGATAAACTCCGCCCCTTCGGCTTCAACTTGGTTGGAACTGTTGAGCGGGCGACGCAACGTTAGGGCCTCTCCCTATATATTTACTCCAAGAGTCACGAAGTAAAGAAGAAATGAAACTAGAAGAGGCCGGAAAGGGGGGGGGGGATAGAAAAAAGTAAAGAGATGAAAGCAGTGGACAAAACAGAACAAGAAAGGAGGAGAAATGAGACAATTTTAGAGAAAAAATGTTTCCATCCCTGTCAGGTTTCGAACCCGGGACCTTTTGAATGAGAGGCGAACACCGTACTTCCAGACCACGAGAGCCCTAGGTGCTCCAAATTACGGCTGCAGTTTGAAATGGTGTGTGTATGTGGGGGGAAGGGGGGGGGATTTTCTTCACGTGACAAATGTTTACGCAACGTGTGAACTGTGAACCAGTAGTCTCTGTGTCTCAGTCTTTGACAAAAGAGGAAGTAAAAAAATTCGGTCAAGCTTCGTCACGCCTGTGACAAGCAAAACCAAACATATCGGGCCAAAAAGTACGCAAAAGGCAAAAACCGAAATAAAACCCGCCAGTTATTCAACAGTTAAAGCGGGCAGACGTGCGGCTCGGCATGTGACATAACCATGGTGCTGCTATTCCATGACATCGAGTTCCCACCAATCGTTGATGGCGTGGATTACGGGCGACCAATCTACGGCCTGTGGGCCAAATCCTGCCGCCCACTTTTCCCAGTTTGCCTGGGCCGCCGTTATGCCATCATGCGGTGAAAAGCCGCAGAAGATGTGTTTGTTGGTTGTTCTGAATAATTTGGGCACCAATATAATTTAGTAATTTCATTGACTCGACAAATTAAACGTGCTTTTGTAGACTGAAGTCTTCACTTCTGGTTAAAGTAACATACCTTTGATGGGCGTCAATGTCAATCGCGTCAGGTGGATAGTAAAGGAGGGTGGGGCTTGCCGTGGCCAAACTTTGAGATAACTCAGATTATAAAGGATGCATCCTGGTGGAAAGATGAACACCTAGCCTTCTCGGACAAGGGCGAAAATTCTCGAAGGTCCCGTCTGCAAGTTGCGCACGTTAACGATCCCTTGGTTGTCTAAAATCGATATAAAAATAGTAGGCTTCGGCCGCTACCCGGGCAAAATTCAAACTTATTAAAAGTATTATTATCTCGTTAATGGCAAAACCCCATTTGAAACCAAGAAATGGACTTATGCATCTTTAAACGTGGACATGATTTACGTTCTTCGGTTTATGTTGAACAAATTTGTCGATGACTTTTGGTTGGTCGATGCATCCTTCATGGCGAATCATTCATGATTAAAAGATCTCTTTTGCTTTCCACCTACAACAGAATGTCCAAGTTCTGCTGTTTGATGTGATCTTAATCTCTTGACAGTTAGCTTAGCTTCAAGAAAAAAAAGAGCTAAAGCAAATTTCTAATAAGTATTTTACACGTTTTACATTGCTACGTTGAAGAATAAACATTATAGTATTCCAATTTAAAAGTACATCAAATCACTGATACACTATAACGGCTCTTGGTTGGTTGTCTAATCTCCGCACACAGAACGCTCGTGTACGCAGTACGCAAGAGATCACTTACAGTTAACACGCTCAAAATTTAATTCAAGTGTAAACAGACATTCTAAGCCCAATGACAATTATAATACCACAGCATTACACGAAATAAATACAGAGTGCCGTGGAAAACAGGGGGGAGGGGGCGTACTCAGTGGAGCCACGAGGAGGTGCAAATTTGGTGTCAATTGTCAAGCGCACGATGCCTAATTACATGACACAGTGCAGCTTCAGCCCCGGAGCCTAACAGATCGTCGAGTTGCTTTGTCTCGGCCTAGAGCCATGCAAGGTCAAGACCCTATTGACATTCAGTCTGTGGGAACTTAAGTGCCGGGGCTCAAGGGACAAACCAATGAAAATTCATACTCCTTTACGGACGGAGCTGTAGTCGCAATAAATAGTAGTAGACACACAGACCAAAGAGGTCACTTTTCGGGTCGTTATGCCTCAGAATCTTCATTTGGGTGTTCATGGAGTTCGCTTTTAATTGGAATACATTATTATGTTTTGTCCCTTAACATTTTTGTGTGAAATGTTTTGATTTCAGTCAGAGATATAAGTTTTTGGTGAAGAAAACCAGGTGGGGGCTGAAGCTGCAAGCCTTACCCCACAAGACTCCACTGGTCAATGTCATAAATCTTTCATTTAACACATCGATGTATTGTATTGAACAAAATGATTAGTGAACTCTCTCTAAAAGCTCATTTCTGTATTCACCTTACAACCTTATTCCAGAAATTCAATTATTAATACGACACTTGTAACTACGAAAAGGTTCCGAGGTACAATTGAAATACCTAAAGGTCAAAATTTGCCGATATTACTAAAAAAAAAAAGACACGTCTTCAATCAGTGTCTTGTCCCCAAAAAAATCTGTGGGTGTGAAACGTGACCAATAACCAGAAGTACAATAAAGGAATCAAACAACAATGAAAAGGAAGATGCCGGACATGGGAATGCAAGATGAAATAAAACACAAAATTACGAGGCAAAATAGGAATGGAGGATATCCCCAAATTTATACTCCATCAAAAGTGGAAATGGGCTGGCGACATCGCCAGAGTGATAGACAACAAGTGGACAAAAATATGCACTAAATGGAGACCAAGAACAGAAACAAGACCAAGAGAAAAACCAGAAAGAAGGTGGCAAAACGACACAGAGAGAACAGATGGGTGCAACCTGAACACGGAAAACAGCTGATAAAACTTAGCAAGCATTTTACAAAATCATGAATTGAATTATCATTTTTATGCCGATGATTCCCAAATGTATGTTAATGGCACCATTCAAGATCTA